GATTTTAATAAGCTGCGATAAAAACAAAACTTTTACAAACTAAACTAATTAACTCGTTTTATTTGCAAAAAAATAATTATTAAAATCATATTTCTAAAGTCATGATTAAAGATTTATTAACAGTATTTAAACCAAAATTCTTTATATTTTTATAAACTAAAATATTATAATATTATACAATAAATAAATAATTAGTTATTATAATAATAAGTATCTTTATTAATTTCAAATTATTTGTTGCATCATTATTATAACTTTATTATTAGTTTATTTATTCAAAATTAATTTTGCATTTATTTAAAATAAAATTAATTTATGAAATATACCTTTATTTTCTTCCTCATTCGATTCTTAATCCGGAATTCATGAATTCGTAACGATTAAACCGATTAAAAACGATTAAAACGGATTTGTATTCAAGGATGTAATTTTAATCAGTTTCTATCGGTTTGAATCGGTTTTAGTCAATCCATTTCAATCGTTATAAATTCATGAATTCTGGATTAAGAAACCGGATTTCCACCGATTCATTTAATTCAATCGGTTTTTATCGTTTTGAATCGGTCTTAGTCAATCCGTTTTAATCGTTATAATTTTGTGAACTCCGTTTTAATTAATGTGAATCCGTTTCTGTCGTTTTTAATAGTGTTTATATATATTTTTCAATTTGTTTTAATAATTAACTAAATAAAGTGTAGTGTAATGCGCGATCTAATAATCATGTTTAAATATACAAATAAAATTGGTCATTTATAATTAAATACATTAAAAGGTATAATAAATTGCTTAGATGACTCAAAATCTTTTTGATTGTCCAAAAAAAAATATATGTATATATTTGTATAAAAATAAAATAAATAATATCTCTCATAATAAATAATATCATGTAATAATAATATGTAATAAGTAATGTTAACAACTTTCTGATGACTTTTTGGTATTTATTTAATCGGTATTACCGGTAACAAGAAATATTACTTGTTAGTAATGTTTTATATTTATTTCAATATTAGTCTCGCTAAAACTAGTATTAAATCAAATTAGAAACATATTTTATTAAAAAATAAACAAACTGTTTATAATGATCGATAATATATACTGTCCTTACGTTATTTTTTTGTAGCTGCGCTTATTTAAGGGCTTACACCTGAGTAGAATTTTGAAAAAATCGATTTTTTTTTATTGCATTTCTTGAAAATATATAGTTTCAAAAATATTGTGTTAAAATATTATTAAGAAATTCGAAGAATTGTAGAAGTTACGGAAGTTTTACTGAAGCGGGGCGGAGCGGAGCGTAGTGGTATCGCGCCTTTTTCGCCGGTATCGCGAGATAGCTCTCTCCTCTCAGGACTTCGTGTCCTTCGAGAAGCCTCTCCTCAAGTCGTCATCGAAGGACTTTTATATGGCCCCGGAATCGCCGACTAAAAATAAAATTATAAAAAAAATTTTTTTTGAACAATTTCATTGTTAATTAACAAAAAAAATTTTTTTAATTATTACTAATATTTTCGAGTCAAAATAAAACTTTTTTGTCTTTTGCATTTTTTTCGTAAGACGAGTTGTTTTCAAGTTATAGCATTATAAACAATTAATGATATCCAAATCTCTTCTCAAACTTTAAACGCGTTTTTCTCGAAACATGGTTTTTAAAAACGGTGTTCACGATATCTCGAGAACGGATCAATAGATCTTTTTGAAATTTGGACACGACATTCTTGGATGTTTTGTCTAATTAGCTACGATCAAACTTTTATAAATTTTTTGTTACAAATGTTTAAAAAATGCATTGGTAACTTGAAAAAATAGGTCAAAAATCGACTTCAAATTTCAAACATTTCAAATTTCATTTTTCGAATTTTTTTTTTAATTTTTTTTGGCCCGTAGCTAACTGTCTTGTATATAACTAATTAGGAATTTAATGCATATTTTTGTACCAGATGACGTGACAACCCAAAATGGTGAACACCGCAAAAAAACGGGGCTTACGCTGATGCCAATAAACAATATTTATTGTTAATAAATTTTAATTAAAAAATTCACAAACGTACTAGAATACATGCTCTTTTTAACAGAAAAAAAAAGTTTTTGAATAAAGCAATTATTTCCCGAGAAAAAAATTCCCAAAATATGGTCACTTTACTCAGGTGTAAGCCCTTAAAATGCATTTCTTAAATATCTATATATGTCTTAATCATAAAATATATCCTGCTGCATCAAATTTTCATATCATAAACATAATTATAATAATTAGCATTTATTAACATATCTCTGTTTCGTATGTTTGATGTACATTTCGAGATTATGCAGTCTGTAAGTATTTAAAATACAATTTTACATATGTATAACTATTCTAAAACAGATGCAATGTCTGGAATTATTGTTGTAGAGGAGACCGAGGCTATCTACTGTCTACGGGGGCTATATATATTATGTGTCCACAGTACTGATATCTCAAGTTTTAAGAGACCGATGTCTCCATCATTGTAACAAGTAGTTGAAAAATGCCCTACGTAAGATATTTAAATGTTGTTTGTTTTCTTGCGATGTCTCTCGCAGACGCTATACACGTAATTATTCACATTTTTTGACGGTCGAAAAATTTGCTGTGCGACAGTAGTTTAACTCAAATTAAAGTAAGCAATTCATAATATTATTAATTAATATATCAGGTGTAAGAAGCGCCAAATCTTAGTTCCACATTATCTAAAATTGGCAACATATATATGGGGCTATCTGTCTACGCTTGACTTGTCTACTTAAAAAGTTCGCCTCTTTAAAACGTTAAAAGATCAACGATTCTAATTATGTTTTTCTTTAATAGCAAGGTTGAAATGTTATACCGTTAAAATTTTAGCCAAATATCTTTATTAGTTTCTTAGTAAACTTGAAAAAAGCGTAAAGTGTGGACACATAGCCCCGGTCTCCCCTACATTACCTCAATATTTTTTTCACACATATCAGTCGAAAATTGAGTATTCTAAAAAAATTGTAATATAAATATATATCATTGTCTTAAGTTTACAGTGACGTATTTTGTTATAAATGAAGATATTACCACATCTATTTCACTACTTTTATCTTCCAACAACTTATCTTGAGTATCAGATACTTAAATTTCAAAGATTTATTTCAATAAGTATTTATTAGATTACAGAATCAACCCTTATAACAATTAAAAAAAATATAATTTTACAAATATGCAATCTACTATCACGTAATTATTGATTTCCTAAAATAAATGGGGTTTAAAATCTTGTGTATTTGAATTAAAACATGGCATCGGATCTAAAAATGGCTCAGGAATTTACTACTCAGATTTTTGTCGTCTATCCATCCCTCGGTGATTAGGCGGAACTTTCGAGTATATTTTACAGATTGTAAGACTTCGAAATTTACAAATAAAATTTATAGGTCTATCACTATTTTAGACATTTGTTCACTTTTATGAAGTAATTATTCCTTTTAAAAAACTGTTTTTTATTATTTTGCATTAATAATGATTGTGTTAATTGTGGTTTTAATTTCATCATATATTATTTTATACCAAATCAATAAATCGTTTGCTTCGTCTCTTAATATATCTAATTCTATATAAAGAGGTATATAGGTATAACACTTCCATATATGATAAATTTTGTTCCAAGAATAAGAATATAATTATATATTTTACCTCTGTATGATTTTCCGTCAAAATTATATTTATCTCACTATAATTATACTTCTGCAGCTTTTTAGTAAGTAGCTTCTCCAAATTCGAGTTCTACAATTATTTATTCATAATGCACCATAACATTACGTGAATTAAAGTTGTATAAACATTACTTAACTACAAAATATGAACTTATCAATAATATTTTTAAAATCAAACAAGATAAATAAGGTATTTACAACAGATCTTCCGTAGGTACAAAAAAGTTACTTTAATAAAACAAACTTTATTGTATGATATCCATACAATATCTGTCGTAATATATTGTATATATAGAAGGAAAGATCTGTCGAAAAGGTCTTATTCCTCTTGTTTGAATTTAAAAATATGTATATTAAATTGTGTTGAAATTGAAAAAAAATATATGGGATTACATCCTGATTAATTAACGAGCTTTTTGATCTTTTGAAATTATAATTATTTCTTCCATTGTCTGAATTCTCATCTTCTGGCGCTGACTGTAACAGATGTAAAGATACACTACATGTTTTTTTTTTGGCAATCATTTCGTCCATCTCCTTCTTGGAATCTAAAAAATTAGAAGCATTAGTATTTATATATAAATATTTTGATAATGTTTTAGTCTTACACATAAAAACAAGTACTAAAATGTATTATACATGATTAATTATAGTAAAAAAGTATAGATTTAAAAATATGATATTTGATTTATTATAATATTTAGTAAGAGAGAAACTGCATGCTTTATTATGACATAAGACTTTTTGTAAAAAAAAAAAAAAAAAAAAAAATTATTTTTTCTTTAGATATATAATGCATATTATACACACCCAAATAGCACAGATATCCTCAGGACATCCTGGATGTATGTATCAAGGATGACTTGAGGACGACTTGTGCTATATCTAGCTGGGAAATATGTATATATTGTATATAAAATTTTTAAAACTTAATACTGTTAATGTATTTTTATTAACATAAAAAAACATTAATATTATGTACATGCTAATAACAAAGCTGTTGCTGGAAATTCATTTTCACCCTGTGTCAATAGATATTTCATTATTCTTCTATATCTTTATGTATTTTTCTTAAAATTTTGGATGCAAAAAGTTGAAACTACATTTTTTTTTCTTTTAATCGACCCAATAAAAATTTCACATAAGCATGATGCATTTATGTTGTACTAATAAAGTAACGTAAAATCCTAAGTAATGAAAAACTATCACGCACAAGTTTCCGAACGCAGCCTTACCCGGTACACGCGTTGTTACGCGTTATAACATAACATTCGTCAAACATGCGTCTCCATAGTAGGTTATCATAATCAAATACATGATTTTTGTGTATATCTCGATCCATGCGCTGTGGCAGCGCGCGGGCAGCGTTTCAAAACTGTTTGAAACTGGAATCATTGCCTCGTCCTCAATAGCCCAGTAAAATGACATTGGAGGAAATAATTCGAACAGGGCTGAAACTTTGTAAACAGGCTTGTTTTAGGGTACTATTTAACATATTAAAAGTCTCCATATGTAGACGCTACGTTGCGGGCAAGGGAGGGTCCAAAAGGTCCGAAAAACCAGTTTTTCGCAAATAACTCGGAAAATATCAACTTTACGGAAATTTATGTAAATATAAAAATTGTAGCTTACAAAATTTCGCACAATTTCGTTTTTTATTCAAGTCTGTACGACCAAATGGAACAAAAACAGAATTTTTTTAAACACGCTCAGATTAATAGTAAATGTTTATCTTATCGGACGACCGTTAGAGGGCTGGGGGCCAGATGGGGCCCAAAACTACGTTCTAGAAGCTTTTAGAAAACCTCTCCTCTTAAGACGCTTAGGAAATGACGGAAATCTCGCGCGGGAGATTCTGATGGGCATTTTCGGGTATAAATCCTTAGTTTTAAACTTCGACCATTTTTCTAACTCCTATTCAATTTCAGACATCACTTTCGACATTTGACTGTACGTTCAAGTCCGAGCATTCGCGCTCGATTCTGGGACTTAATCCCTGCACTCTTATACTTTAAGACCGCGCTTCACGCACAACTCAGGCTGCGGTTCACTTGACGCTACAAATGCTTTGGAGCGTTTTTCTTCTTCTTTCTTCATTGAAAGAAAAGAGAAGACGAATGCTTTGAAGCATTTGTAGCGTCAAGTGGACCGCAGCCTCAGTTGTACTAAGATTTTAAGAATAAAGGTAAGATAAGTCTAAACAAGAGAATAAGCTTGAAATCTGGGATCTGACCACGTATTAAAATTCTTAATCAATCACTTCTGAGATTCGACTCGCAGTTTTCGCTGACAAAAAACGTGGCGATCTGTCATGGACGCTGACGAAGAGTATGGCAAGCTGGTACTTTCGCTGCCGAAAGGCGTGGCGGTTACGGGGTTGATTCTTAGAAATCGCAACAATCGTTATTAATTCCCGAAAGTGAATTTGGCCTTTACGCTGACGAAGAGTGTGGCGGATTGGCTTTGAGCCCTGACGAAGACTGTGGCGAGCTTAAAATTCATTTTCGAGAACGCGGGCTGAATAACGAAAAAGGGAGATAGACGAGTTCAAATCAAACGAATTAGGTTCCAGATCAAACAAGCTGTTACTTCTAATCGAGATCTTCTCCCCCTCCTCTAGAAATTACAACAACTAGAAAACGCACCTCCATTTAAACCTATTCCTGTCGATTTCGACATTGATTATCCTATAATTACAGTCAGATAGACAAAAGTGATCCTCGTTACAAAACTTAGAAACTCAGATATCTTTTTGGTCCCGAATAATAATAATATAATAATAATAACTTTCACACGACTTGTCCAAATCCTTAGTAAATTGCTTAAATACATTGACCAAAAAACGGACGAACAACAGACAGAACGCGACAATAATGAATATACTAACCTCCGGCAGCCAAAAGACCAGGGATGTCTCCCCGTGTAACTGCATCTCTGATGGTGTATGCTGTCGATATGTAATCGCCCCGTCCCCGGGACGTCTATCACCTACTGAAAAAAATTAATTTATAAAAATTATTTTTTTTAAATTACACACACACACGCACACACACACACATATACCTTTGGCGAGAGCATGGCGGATCCGTCATCGGAATATCGGAAAATCTATTAAAATATATTAAATATGAATTACTTCTTATTATTATTATATATAATTATATTTTTTAAAATAAAATGTTATTTAAAAAACTCACCGTCAACATGCTGAAACGTACATGCATTTCGGCTGGGTTCTCCGTGTCAGCCGCAAATTTAACGAAATTCTTGTATCGTCGACCGTCCTTTCATCAAGGTTCCTCTCGTTCACATCATGCTGTAAAAAATTAAACAAAATATATTATTAAGGTAGTCGTCTCGTCAGGGCATGTATTAAATAAAGTTTTCGATTTCGGATTTTATATCAAATTATATGATCAGCTTTGCAGTTGATTTTTTCTGTGGCTCCTTACCGACTATTTACTCTCAAAAATCGATCTCGAAAATCACAAATTTTGCATTACTTCATACAGACGGCCAAAAAAAGAAGGCTCTATCACGGTTTCAATCACATATTTTCGCATTTTTCAATTAGATAAAGTGAGAAAAAACATTGCTTTTTGTACATTAGATTTCAAAGAATCCGATGCAACCATAAAATATATAGTTTACCGGAGATTTCGCTGCTAATTTTTTAGTTTATTTTAGTGAAAATGCGGTAATCGAGCAGACATTTTTTGGTCGAGGTGAGGTTGGGAAGACTTGGCAACGCCGCTGGCTAATCACTGTAGTTGCAGGTTATGGGGCTCGTCTTTCTTAGCCGAATTGGATAGTGATTGACACCCCTGTCATGCGTTTTGAAACCTTTTCTCAGCAATTGTCAAAATTTAATCGAAAAGAAGATTTTTCTCACTTGTAACCTTTCTCGACGACTCGCATGATCAGCTGATCAAAACGGAGTCAAATGAGAAAAATCACATAATTTGGAAAAAGTAACATACTTTGTCACGTATGAAATTTTACACCATAATTCATAAAATTATTTTTTCTTTAGCAAAAATTGCCTGAAATATATTTCTGAACGTGAAAACCTACAAACAGTCACATGACTAGCACGTAGCGAGACACCTGCCTTAAAAAAAACGCGCGCACACAAACAAATCACGTACCTCTGAAATGAAGTGCATGCTGCTGAAAATGTCCGATTGAAACCGATTGAAAAAAATTCAATCCGTATGAATCCGGTTTTTTAATCCGGAATTCACGGATTCATAACGATTAAACCGATTAAAAACAATTGAAACGGATTCGTATTCAAGGATGTAATTTTAATCGGTTTCTATCGGTTTAAATCGGTTTTAGTCAATCTATTTCAATCGTTATAAATCCATGAATTCCGATATAAGGAACCGGATTCACACCGATTCATTTATTTCAATCGATTTTTATCGTTTTTAATCAGTCTTACAATTAGTCAATCCGTTTCAATCGTTATGATTTCGTGAACCCCGTTTTAATTAATGTGAATCCGGCTCTGTCGTTTTTAATAGTATTTATATATATTTTTCAATTTTTATTTTAATTAGCTAAATAAAGTGTAGTGTAATGCGCGATCTAATAATCATGTTTAAATATAAGAATAAAATTGGTCATTTATAATTAAATACGTTAAAAGGTATAATAAATTGCTTTTAGATGACTCAAAATCATTTTAATTGTCCAAAAAAAAAAAATATATATATCTATATATTTGTATGAAAATAAAATAAATAATATCTCTCATAATAAATAATATCATGTAATAATAATATGTAATAAGTAATATTAACAACTTTCTGATGACTTTTTGGTATTTATTTATTATCAGTATTACCGGTAACAAGAAATATTACTTGTTAGTAATGTTTTATATTTATTTCAATATTAGTCTTGTTAAAACTAGTATTAAATCAAATTAGAAACATATTTTATTAAAAAATAAACAAACTGTTTATAATAATCGATAAAATATACTGCTCTTATGCGATTTATTTGATGGAAGACGATTGTCTCTCTCAAAGGATCCTTGAACGTATTCCGGTAGATAATTGATTTGTGACTATAATTTGGCTGCCAAATCTTACTCCATCAAAAATATTAATAAAATTAGTTTTACAAATCTGTATTAATATTGAAACGTCTACTTGGCGTTATAATATTGTAATAGCATATTAACTTCATAGTAAGAATATTTGTACACATTCAATGTTACAATTTAAAAGATGGAAAAGAGAGAGAAATAAAGAGGGAGAAAGGGAAAAAGAGGAGTTATAATATGTCATGTGCAAATATATAAATGTTAATTTATTTTAAATAATTAATTCTTATTTTATAAGCGAAAGTCTTTTAACAAGTCTTTCATTCTTAAAATATTCATTAACATTACAGCGTTATTGCTATCCGCGCGTAATGACGCATTAAAAGAACATGTTAGACCAGGGATTACCGTACATACGTTTAAAACATTTAATTTTATATCGTGAACATAAGCTATTTACAATTATTCTCTATCACAATATTCAAAAGCGAAAATTTCTTAACCGTATGCTTTTAATTTTTTGCTTTCTTTATGTTTGAAATAGACATATGTGTGCGTAATCGCGACAACGATCTAGGTCTACCTTAATAGCCTGCCGTTTCGTTCATTCATTTTTAACGTCAAAATTCTAGTGTATTTTATAGGTTGACGATATTTTACAGATTGTATTACATTTGGTTTCGTAACCCGGAGTCTGCATTTCCGCTTATCTATACATATCGTTTTTTATCTTTCAGAAATCTTTGAAACCGACCGCAGAGATCGGTCACATCGAAAATGTCAAAAATTATGCTGTATATTTCAAAATATTTCAAAAGGTAGCTGTTTAATGATATCGAATCTCTTTTGTATGAATATTTATATCAAAAATATTCAACAAGTCTCCTAAAGGCTTCCATTGCTCGTGATGTATGATCGGTACGAGTGCCGAAGAGAAAATGATTTCTTCGTCATGGCGGGTGGAGGGGGTAGGGGGTAGGGGAGTGAGGGAAATGGGGTGAGGGGAGGGCAGCCATTTTCGGGGTAGTCACGTGATGTCATTTGATTTGAAATTTCTCTCGACCAATAAGGGGAGATAGAAAGGAGTATAAGCAGCATCGACTGCGGAGCTATATCATTATCCTTTAGACTTTCGAAGGCTACAGGTCTCAAATCGGGAGCAATGGAAGCCTTTAGGAGAATTGTTTCCTATTTTGATGTATTCATACAAAATTAAGAGATTGGACATCATCAAACAGCTGCCTGTTGAAATATCCAACATAATTTTTGGCATGTTGGACAATAGGTCTCTCCGGTCGGCTTCAACGGTGTCTGAAGCATGGGAGACGATAGCTATGGACGAACGGAGACGTAGGCTCCGCCTTGCGAAATTAAATGTAATGCCTGTAAAATGTAAACCTGATGTAAAATGTAATAAAATTTTAACTTTTAAATTCAATGAACGGAACGGCAGAACTATTAAGATAGTTCCGACTCGGTCTCGCCGATTGGACATGTATCCATGCACATGTATCCAATTTAATAGAGATAAGAGAATTAGTAATCTGCGCTTTTGAATAAAATAAAAAATAAAAAATAAAAAAAAATAAAGAATAAAAGTAAATAAATAAATAAAAAATAAATGTAAGTAGCATATGTGTGTGGTAGCTCTTGAATAAAAATAAATGTAAAAAATTCAGCCCGATATATCAATATTTGCAGAAGTTAGAACAACCACGGACATTTCTAAAAAAAATCGAAATTTTTTTTAAAAAAGAACCTCTTTACCGATCATCGCCAAATTCAATACCAACCTTTTTTGAATAATACTCTATCAATTAAAAAAAAACAGCCCGATATCTCAATGGCTGCGTTCAGCAGAACGCAACAGTATTGCAACTGTTTTATGATTCTCTGCTGAACGATTCTAAACGCACCTAAAGTCTCAACACGTTCAGCGGTCGCCATAATTTTCAGCGAATTAAAACTACGTAAAACGTCAAGCTGTCAAGCAAAACGTCATCGACATATAGTATGGACTGTGGTATGGACTACGCGATGTATAAATGTATGGACTACGATATGTACAAATATTAATATAAGAAAATAAAGAAATATATAATTATAATTTAAATAAATTCGGGTTAGCACGCATATAACATAGAATGATAGGTTAAGGGGGTTTACACCACATCAAAGTATTACATATTTTATATACATTTAGGCAGTCTATACACGTACGAGTTTGGCTCGCAAGTCCGACTCGGCTCGGCTTCTACTCGTTCGTGGATGAGATGTTACGAGCCGGACTCGGCGTCAAATAAACCAAATTCGCACATTTTCTTTTCGTGTGTAGTGAAAAAACGTTCGAGTCCGGCTCGCGAATCAAGCTCGCAGACCCGGACAATTGCGAGCCAAACTCGTATGTGTATAGACCCCCTAAATGTATATAAAATATGTAATACTTTGATGCATGTATTATACTTATTAATTAAATGTCATGGACTTATGTACTTATGTAAATTTTTTCAATAATTATGTTGAAGAAAATTACCAAGAGATAGTAGGAGTGCTTAATATATTACAAGATGTGCCACAAACATCATTAGAAGGTATGTACATTTTATTATAGTAATATTATAATTTGAGTTAGTACATTACATTTAATTAATAAGTATAATGCATCAAAGTATTACATATTTTGTACACATTTAACGATTTAACCTATTATTCTATGTTATATGCGTGCTAACCCAAGTTATTTAAATTATAATTATAATATATTTCTTTATTTTCTTATATTAATATATATATGTATATGTATATATATATATATATATATATATATATATATATATATATATATTATACCTTTTTATAACTTTCTGTACGTTTCCACTGTATTTATTGCGTTATAAATAATATTTTTATATGTATATTTATATTTATACATTCTCAGATGTTAATACACTGGAGGCAGTTATTTTACTGATAACGTTTTGCTTGAGATACAACGTACTTTTAGTTCGCTGAAAATCATAGCAACCGCTGAGTGAACGTGTTGAGACTTTGAATACGCTTAGAATCGTTCAGCAGAGAATCATAAAACGGTTGAATACTGTTGCGTTCTGCTGAACGCAGCCAATACCTGCGGAAGTTAAAGCAATCACAACATCAAATCTGTACATACACACACACACATACTTCCGGACATTTCTTTTTAATGCAATATTTTGACGTTTTAGAATACTCTGAACATATTAGCATCA